ACTTAATATCACCAGCAACCAGTCCAGTACCAGACACATCATTTAAGTGCAGTAAGTAAATACATGTGAGTAAATACCACTTTGTGGTGTTGCCCCCTTTGGCAGAACCCTGAAGTGCAGGGGATTCAGCTTCCGCATCTGGAAAATAGCACTTAGAATACTGACATCAGAGGCTATAAACATTAAATAAGGAAACCTACGGAAAGATCCTAGCACAGAACTTGGCACAGAGAACTCAATCCATGTGAGTTACCACCTTCCTGTGCAGAATTATGATCAGAATTATAGTCTCCATAATTGCCTCTGCGTATCAGGGTATGTTTGCTAGAGTTTCTTCTAGGGTAGACCAGACTCAAGTGTGGGAGTTGTAATAATCTTACCCACCCCAAAAAATCTTGGTCCAAAAGGAGGAAAGTCCACAGGGAAAACTGCTTACAGTATACCCTTTGTTATCAATGTTTGGTATGGGGCTTGGCTGTTGACAGTTCTGACATGCAGTTATACACCAGTTTCCCTTTTTAAAGGGATTCCATAAACGCATAATCTGTTTGAGCACTACGCTTCATAACAGTAGGGACCATTTTTCTCCCTCCTTCCTTACTTTTCATATAAGGGAGAAATTATGTGATCAACAGACTGAATAGCCTGTGGATACTCCGGTGTGTTCACTGGACTCTGCATATTTATATCCAGCGGAGAGAATAAAATGATTAATCCTGAGGACCTTTTAAGTTACTTTCATGGATTTAATCATTTTCATACTTTTGGAGTCACAGTTGTCCCTAAACTGAATTATGCCCTCAGTTTTTCTATCTGTAAAATAGGGGTAATAGTTTGTCATTTCATCCCCTTCTTAGGTGTTAACATTTATTGTGTTACACAGAGGAAGGAGCACTAGACTGGGAATCAAGAGAGCTGAGCTCTGTCCCTTACTAAGACTAGCTGCATAGATCTTGGGCAGGTCACTTCAACCCCGTTCCCTCACCTCCAAATGAGAAGTCTAAATTAAGCAATCTCTAAGTCAGCTCCCTAATTAAGAATAATATGCTTTTTAATAAATACAGTGAGTAAAGTGGCCCTCTTCTTCCACCCACAGATGCCAAATGAGAGGAGACGTTCTGTGCACTATAGAGAGGGGGGGAATTTGGCTCATGCTGCCCATGGTGGGTGTGTGGTATCAGCACACTGACCATATATGTTATAGCACCACACATTAGGCAGGAATTCAAAAAGGGTAGCCACGTCCAGTTGGAGACAAGAATTCTGGAAGTGAGACATTCGAATTACTTGGATACTTGTGCACAAAAATGTTTAGTTTTGTACAAAAATAATAGAACCTATGACTAGCATTCTTTTTAGACTTTCTAAGTTGTACGCCAGCCCACTGACTTGCAATTAGAGGGATTACCCATAGTTATTTTCTAGCAGAGAGGAATTGGAGAAAGAACTGGGAGGTTGCCTCTTGCCCTTGTCGGCGTGTTAGTCCCTCTTCTGGGGGTAATAAACGCACATGTAGCAGGTGAAGAGCTGCCCCTGGTATTCACTGATGGTCACTCCAGCTTCAAGCCAGGTCACGTCACCTCCAGCCATAAACCTTTCTGGATCTACCCCAGGTCTTAGAATCTGTATGTGACTGTGTATACTGTACTGTAGGAAAGAGCCACATGGTTTCCACTCAGAAGACCTGAGTTCAAGTCCCACTTACATGAACTGTCTGGGCAAGACTCTTCTAGTCCCAGAATCAGCTGATGCAAGGATCAAAAGAAATGGGGAGGTGTAGAGGGGTTGGCTCCAGGGCCAGTCAGTGCTGCTCTGCCCCTCACTCCCTTGCAAGTCTTTTCCTTTCCAAAGTGTTTCAGGGAGGTTTTTAAAATGAAATAAGATTGATCACTTTGTCGTAGATCCCTATGTTACTTGGTACATTTGAAAAGAGGGCAATATTAGCCAGAGGTTTTTTTTTTTTTTTAATGGAGCAACCAGCAAAGCTCTAGTGAAAGAGAAAGCATGAACTCCTGCTAGGCAGGAGGGGTTCCAAGAGAGGAAGCCCTAGCCGGAGGCTTTAGAACCACAGAGGAGAGGGCACTGCCATCCTGCACCTTTGAAGCCACGTCCTGGGGAGAAAGCTCTGTTTTCTGTAGCATCTTTTCACCTTCCCTCACCCCAGCCATACCTGGGTTCTCTTTCCAGCCACCTTAATGTGGCGGCATGTCACTTGACGCATTCTGAATCTTGGTTTGGCTTCCTCTCTACCTGTTGTGGTCAGGGATACCTCCTGAGGAGCCCTGTCTCAGGCTCTGTTCTCACAGAAAAAGTACCTCAAAGAGTCCTACCCCATTTCACTTGGGATTTACACCATGGTAAGGAATAGCCACACGTCCTGTGGCCACTGCTGCCTCCAGTTCATAGCCTGTCGCAGCCATTGAATATGCAGCATCTGAGCTGCCCACCCAGCACCACCGGGAGCCAGTCTTCTGTGAAAAGATGCCTGAATCTGCACCACAAGCCCGACTAGTCAGAGCTTTGGCTTTACAAAGACCAGAGGGACTCTTCGAACATCAGTTTTAAACAGTTGCTTGTGCCATTGTGGCCCAAGGAAAGCACATAGGCTGAGGAGTCAGACTGGCCCTGGGTTTAAACCCCAGTGTGGCCATTCAGGGTTTAGCTAGCACATTGGCAAAGTACTGAAGTTTGTTTACACGTGTAAATGGAGATGCTGATGCCTTTGCACGGCTGTTGTGAGGATTAAATAGAACCACACATTGCAAAGTGCCTAGCCCATAGTGGCTGCTCCACAGGTCTTTTCTTTCTTCCCTCTCACCAGAGAAAGACCGAATTATGCCAAACATGACTCACTTAGGAGGGTTACAATTTTTCTGTTAAAAGTAGTCATTGATCAAGTTCCTCCCTGATCATTTCAATTCAGATATTAAGGTGTCCATAGTAATCAGGTTCCTTTGCAGCCTGGACCTCCCTCCCACAGAGTAGAACTGTTTGGGATGTGGTCTGCCACCAGCTGTGGGTCTACCCCCTCCCACACACACCCTCACCCCCACCAGCCCAACTCCAGCCCAAGGTTTGGAGGAAAATAGTCATCAGATTTTGCCTAGGATTTTAAGATACCAAATAGGGATTATGATAGAAAGTCTCATTCATGAAATTAAAGCTATCCTTTTTCCTGGGAAGCCCCACTAATGGAGAGTCTCATTTTGATCTCCTGGTTTATGATTGATATTGACAACATTCATGTGTATGTGTGTGTCACAGAAGTAACTAATCCCAGCAGAGAATGAGTGGGCTTAGTCTATAGTGGCCAGTCTATTGGGAGTATTTCATTGTCTATTTCAAATCTTGCAATAGCTTTTCAGTCTTGGTCAATTGTCATCCTGGTTGTTAAGATAGCCAAAATGACAAGCTCTACATGCTGTCACCACCCCCCACTTTGTTTCCTTATGCATAGATAAAACTCAGACAACATGGATCTCAAAGGACCCAGTGACTGGATTTGAAAAAAACAAAGACCCCCCCCGCAGAAACTTAGCTGCCACCTGCAATATAAATGTTACCATCTCTTTGCCTATTTTAAATCCCCTTCATATCTAGGAGACTATGGCACACTTAAAATTGGAAGTGTATCCAGGCACAGCCAACACAAATTATCCCCTATGTATTTATCCAAGTTCCTTACTTAAAGCCTCAGACATGTTTCTACAATAACCACACTGCAATAAGTAGTACATAAAATCTTTAGCTTGAAAGGACAAATCTTTCAGAATACATTGGTTTTTAAGAAGTTTCTACAATTCAACTTAAAATACTCACGTTGCTAACTTCCGAGCAAAGCAATCACAAGAAGGAATTCTTTCTGCCTGAAGTTGGTAGCGGTTAACAGAAATACAAGTCATAGCAGCTTTTGAAATCAAGTGTAATCATATTGTACTAAAGAGCTTTTTCATAGTAGAGCAACTGTAAGTCCCAAATTTTCTGGGATTGTCCTGATTTTGAATGCCCTGACCCACTGCCAAGTTCTGTATTTAGACAAAGCATCCTGTTTTCTGGTTCCGAGAAGATGTCAGCATACAGTTCAATTTAAAGATAAGTGGCACATGCAATTCTTGTACAAACAAAAGTGTCACCGTCCCAACTTGTCGTTATTGGAACTACAATTTTCTGAAGTCTGTTTAGGTCTGTGATATCTCTATGTAATGTCCTTTCCAAGCTTAATTAGGGAGATTTTTATTTTGCTCTCACAAAATCTCTTTTATGCAGCTGAGTACCCCAAAGTGAGTTTATAATTACACAGTCTTAATTGAAGGGGTACAGATGAGAAACAATTGTTCCTCATCTCCAATTTTCTAGCAGACATTTAGTCTTAAACTCCTGGATACCTAAAAAAAGCAAACAAGGTAGTGATGGCTGAAATTTCTCCTATTTTTATGTTTGGAATGAATCTTTTCTTACGGGAATGAAAATAGACAGAAAAATCCTTGCTTTTGGGCTATGAAAGAGAGAAAAGAAAAACCAGTCCTTGGATATTTGCAACAAAAGACCATCACTTGCTACTGAAATTGACTCTGGATTAAAAAGCTGAAGTTTCGAAGGCAAATAATTTTGCTACTCTTTACATATTTTAGCAGTTTAAAAATACACTAGAAAATACACATGCATACAACTGGGGGTGACAGTCTGCACACTCCAATTTTGCCAGTGTGGATTTTTCCCTTCAAATTAAAACCTGCAGAAACGAACTCAGATAGGGTAGATTGTCTCCCCTGCTTCATCCTCATGTCAGCGAAATTTTGAGTGAGCTCTTTGATCACAAAATTCATGTCCAACTTTGTACAAAAAAATCAAGAAGCAGTTATCTAATACATTCTGTTAAATTAGCCAAGACCAAGTAATAAGACCTCAAAAATAAACATATTTCAAAGTATTTTGTTCTTTTCAATAGTTGCATGAGTTTTTTTTTTTTTTTCAGGAAAATGTGCAAATATCAAGGTTACCTGGGTCTGCTGGTCACTTCTAGTTTTTGCACTCGGAGCTGGTGAGTTTTGCTAATGATGCACGGCTGTTTAAGAACCGGGTGGCTTTTCTGGCAGTCACTCTTTGTGTGCCATCTTTTATAAAGGTGCTTCTTGTTGCTAAGAGATCAGTTGCTTAGAGACCAAATCATTTAAAAAAAATATATATGTCAGGGGCCAACATAAATTATAACCAAATTTTGTCATTTCAGTTTCCCCTCTGAATGTTTGGCTTCTGTAATAGATCAGAACGTACCAAGAGAAGCCAATTACTAATCACAAATAGGAACTGAGCATAAGGAGAAGAAAGGATTTCCGCGTCTGCTCCCATGGGTAGAGAGTAATGCCGTGCGTTCCCTGTGAGGGATTTGCATCACTGTGAGGTTCTCTGAAACTTTGACTCCTTGCCGGGGTCCTAGACAGGTGCTGTGAGCGTTGAGTTACATACACGTGTCCCTGGCAAACTTGAGTGCAGTTTGGAGTATGAAGACATTTGGGGATTATGGAACTACTTCAGTCTTTTCCCAAAGGAAAATTAAGAGAAAACTGCTACACCTAGGAAAATGTAAGTTGGAAATCTGAAGTGATCTTAGCCTTCAGCCAGATGTTTTCATGAGCAAACAATGGTCACTGCCTCCGGTCCAGGTGTGCATGTGCTAGGGGGAGGGGGCTTGTATACAAATCTGCCTTTTATTTTCTCCCTTGTACTCAGATACAACATTAACTAGGAGATGGGAGAAAATACAATTGGTTAAGTAGGTGAAGTGTAGCTTTGGGGTTCTCTTTCTCTCCTCTTGGCGGTAACTCTGCCAGTTGAGACCCACTCCCTTCAAATTAACTGTCACCTAAGTATCACCCTTCCCAAGGACATTTGCATTTTAAGAATATATTTTCAAAGGAAAGACTCTTAAATTCCTTTAAGATGCAAAGGAATGTGGCATTGAATTCCTTAACAGGTAGGATGGGAGATACTTGGGAGCAAGATAAAGTTAGACACAGCCCTTCACTGAACAACTCCATACATACAGCTCCTTCCTCCAGCCCTCCTTTCTCTTCTCCTTCCATCCTTCACTGGCCTCTTTGGACCCATCTATGGGGAGAAGCAATCAATCAAATGAGGGATCAAAGACATGAGAATTAAAAATCAAGACAAGAGGTAGAAAGAGCAGGATCTTAGATTTTCTTTTTCTTCCTTTACTAGTCTGCAAAGAGTTTGCCTTTATAGAAGACTTCATGTCTTTGGCATCTAGGGATGAACACTCTGTGTGGGAGAAGGTAGAGCCAGGGCTGGAGGTGGGGGTGGGAGCATCAGGTAGGATGAAGAGGTCTGGTTCTCATTCACTCTTCAGCTCTGGTCACTGTCAGACTAGCAGTCTGCTTATGAAAGACCCATAAGCAGTTGAAATCTGTTTAGAGCTGTATAGCAGTAAAAAAAATTACAGCCTGTGTAAATGAGATGGGGCTGATGCTCAGCAGAATTCCTTTATGTAAAATGAAACACTGACTTTCCCCAGTGCAAGCTATGAGTGAAATGGACACATAGCATTTCAGTGTCACATCACAGAATAATCTCAGGTATGCCAACTAAGCATACATTTTCCCTTAAAGTCTCTTTTTTCTTTCTAATCCCCCAACTTCCCTTTTTTGCCTATTTTTTGAGAGAGAAATGGAGGCAGAAAAGGAAGGAATCTGAGATGGAGAAATCAGGGATAGGAGAAGGCAAGAGAAAAATTTCTGAGTCAGTACTTAGGAAATGCTGGTTGAATGAGATAGAGGACCAGGAGGCTGAGGAGGCCATGGACTCAAACTTGAATGTTCTTTGAGACAGAAACCACCGTCTACTTTCTTTCCCTAATTCCATGTCCTCTGTACAGGGCTCTTGCATTTAGAACACAATCAGATGCTTTTCTTCAGCTCTAAGTCAGAGGAGAAAAAGAGCAGGAGGGATGGGGCTGAGGGGCTTAAACTACTACTGGGAGCTAGGAAGTAGGCCCTATACCCCCATGCCTGATTCCCTCCAAAGGAGCCTATTCTGCAGACATTTGTTTTTGGACGTCAATCTAAAATAAAAGGCTGCCCATCTTATCCATCCGTCCTGGTCTCTCTACTTCTTTGGCTCTGTTTGGCTGTGTCCTTGCCTTGTCGCCATTTGCTTTGGATTCTTAGCTTCTGCCTTTGGGACATGAGGCCCCACACCTGTCTTTTGGCCACCTCTTGCATATCAGGAAGTGATGCATGCATCATTCTAGATACAGTCATTGGCCGACTGCAGGCTCCCACCACCTGAGTGGGGGTAGGGAAATGCACTGGTCTGTGAGGGACCCACCCAGTTGTCAATATTATGTGGCTGAGGGAAATATGTCTTGGATCCATGAGAGCTCTGCCTACAGATGTCCCAACTTGAAGCTTTGAAAAAAAAATTGTGCATGGATATAACTGTTTGCACCAATTAATGTGGTCTGCTGGTGTTTTGGGCTCTGTAGAGTGGCAGACCATACCCTGACCCCACCACTTCTAGGAAGTTGCCCGGCCCATGTAAGCTCCACCTCCCAATCTTAGAAATGGGGGAACAGCTGGAAACAGTAGGCAACAGATGGTATCAGGATCTTTGGGTGAAACCCAGAACACTGGGCTCCTGTCTCCAGATCAGGAGATGGTACACTGAGAGACGTCAAGCCCCCAGTCATCCTCTGCAGAAGTAGCTGCCACTGCAGGTGCCTTTGGGGAACCCAGTGTTCCCTGGTGCCACTCCCAACTGAGCACCTAAAGATCCTGATACCATCTATTGCCTACTTCCCAGCTCCCAGTAATTCCCCCAGGACTTGCCTCTCCTGGCTGCAGAGTGTCTCCAAGACCCCATTTCTAGGATGGCTCACTCAGCCCCATCTTTAGCTAGGAGGTAGGAAGGATCCGCTCCTATCCTGAGACGCTTCCAATGAGTGGCCTGCAGCTCTGTCCCTATTTCTCCAGGAAACTCTTCCAGAATAGGCCAAATGGCCTATAGAGGAGCATGATCTGGTAGATAGAATGGAGACTGCTTCAAGTGTTCCGCATCCTCTCCAGAAGGACCTCTGCATGCAGCTTAGAGCAGCTAGTAGAAGCTCAACCAGTACCAAACAAGATAGCTTTTTCCAAGCAATTTTACTTTGCCAGATGCCATGTGCTAGGCAGAAAGCTACTCTTAGAAGCCAGAACACCAAGAGGAAACGGAGGAGGGCCTGCTCTGGAGAAATCACCTTTCAGCCATCCAGCCCAGAGGCTACTGTTAAAAAGTAGGGTTTGGGCAGTGGAAGGCATCAAAACGCAACTGCCTCAAGTTAAACTCTGGAGCAGTGTTGGGAGGCACAAGGGGAGGCAGCAGAGGGTCTTCTCTCCCCGGTGACAGCTGCTCATCCTGGCTGGAGGCATGAGGCCAAGCATACCCTAGTGCTGATGGGCTCTCTGGACTCAAAAATCTTGGTTGCAATCCACTGGGATTTCTGGCACACAAAGAGAAGACCTGAGAGTCATGGAGACCTGGATCCATGACAAGCGGGCCTCCACGTGCCTGGTTATATTTGGCTTCCCTGACTGCACCTGCTCCTCCTGGACTCACCTCCGCCTTGCAGTGAGGGAGGCCTTAAGACATCACATTTCCTGTTTCCATTCTGGCATGTGTTATCACAGCCCTACTCAGCAAACGTGCCTCAAGACACCTTACTCCCCATCCAGATTGCTCCCCAGCTTGTGGGGTATACATCTCCAAGAATCACCTAAGGAGTCAGGCCAGACTCAGTAAATCATGAAAGTGAGCAGGGAAGACTTGCTCTTGTACCTGCCACCAGTAATGGGCCTCATCTGACTGTCCAGGAAAATGTAGCTGTAACAACTCTCTGCTCCTTCTCTCCTCCTGGAACGCCCATCCTTTCTCTCTCCCCACCCTCCCCACCCTACCACAGGAAGAATGGCTTCCCCAGGGCTCTGGTCGTGCCAGCACTCTGGAAGCCAGCCTGCCATTCCAGGAGCTCTAGCAACCCCCCTCCAGGAATGACGTTCTACTGTCATTTCTTTGGTCACACTGAATCCATAGTGAACTTGCCAGGACTGAAACCCATTGGCAAGACAGGGATAATTACTAATTGCAACACACTTATAAGCCAACTATTTTGTTTTAGCAAAGTGCAATTAAACGGAGCAAAATTCTCATAAATCAAACTAGTCTCCATTCTCTTCTCTCTTCTCCAACCCACCTCTGAGTCCATCCGCCCCTGTGTCTCTCTCCTCTACCTGTATGTTCCTTCCAGCCACCTCTCATCTGCAGGTAAGTGCCCTCCCTTCTCTACCCCTCTGAACACCACCTCTCAAGCCTGGGACAGACAGACACCTGTAAGTGACATGGGCTAAGGTAAAGACAAGAAGCACTAAAATTAACTGTTCTGTCTTCAGCCACTTGTGTTTTTTTGGTTATTTCCCCCCTCAAAGGTTAATTCCTGTCTGAACCACAGTCTTCAACTGGCAGGGCACAAAGTGCTTCTTATTTCACTCAATCCATCACATTTCAAAGCCAAGTGTGCTCTGATCAGCATGCATGTCCACAGTCCACTGTGTATGGGCCCCAGGCCTTTGGTAGTGTACAGAAAAGGATAGTTCCTATGGCCAGGATTCTCACCTGACCATGGTCGGCTTGCTCACTGTGCATGTGTGGGCAATATGTTATTATTGACTGTATATAAAGAGCTCTGCCCAGTGCTCTGGGCTGCACGGCTGCAGGATAGCAGAGGCTGGAGTGGTGGACAGAGACCAGGGCAGCTGTGGAGGTGGAGAGGCCTGGAGGCAGAGATGGACTTGCTGCTGCAGACTTGCTCTGAGGTGGGTGGGATTCTAGTGCTTGACCTGCCACCGTGGGAGTAAATTTGGGTATAAACCCTTTTGCCCGAGAACATTCCACTGTCCTTGTTTGGTCTCACCGAATCAAGAGTGAACTTGCCTGGGGCTGAAACCCATTGGCCAGACAGGTAGCCTAAGGGGAATCCTCCTCAAGAAGAGCAAATGTTCACATGTTGCCTATGCTGCGGACACCATCACCTCCGCCACATTCAGAGTTTCCCAACTGTTTTCGTTCTG